TCAGCAGAAATACTTCCTTTCCTAGCAGCCTCTCACCACAACTCCCTTCCCCCCTCAAGTTTCAGACTCTCTCAGGCTGCATCTACGCTACAAAGAAAAGTGGGGGAAAGATACACAAATTGCACTTCGTGTATCTCCCCCACCCCTTTTCTTCAGAAAGAGGCTTTGCTGACATTTGCCCCGTCTATACTGGGCCAAATGTCGGAAAAACCCTCTTTCGGAACATCCCTTCTTCCTTGTAGAACGATGTTTACAGGGATGCTGAACAATCCGCTTTTTCGGAAACTATTCCGAAAAAGCAGAGGCATTCCTTGGATGCGGCAGAGCCTTTCCGGGATATCGCCAGTATCCCAGAAAAACTCTGCAGTCTAGACGTACCCTCAGGCTCCACAGGAGAGGCCTATCATAGGTCAAGACCCAGCATGCTGTGCAGGATGGTTCAAAATGAGGCCTGTGGTGCCCAGAGCAACAAGCTTTGCTTGTTTGAAAAGATTTTTTTCCTCATCCCTTTCTGCTAAGGAGGAGAGGGGAAGGGGGAGCAACCACACCCGTGGCACGGCTTCACGTTGCATTAAAAACTAAAAAAACAATTTTCTCCACGAGAATGCTCATTTTTTAAAATGAGTCCGTTTTGTTCCACTTCAACCCCCCAAACATGTAAACCAGGAGCAGAGTTCTGAGAGGACACCTCTCAGCTAACAGGTAGCCAAGTTAAATCCTGGTATGGGAACAGAGCCCACTTTTTGCATAGGACAGAAAAGCTACAGTCCCCAGAACTATGGGGCTAAGTGTCTCAGACAGGAGCAGCCCATGAGCCAAGGCAAACTAGGCAGTTGCCTAAGGCGCCACTGGCCCGGGTGCCCGATGATGTCACGGCGCCCCGGGATTACATTACTGCCATTGATGGCCGTGCAGGCAGGGGCGCCGATTGTGCCTTCCGCCTCGGGCTGCTCCTGCTCTCAGACAAAAACTCTCCTTACCCCGCAAAAAAATGCAGATTTGGGTCAGAATCTTTTGCAAATTGTTTGCAGAAAACCCCCTCACAAATTCTAAAATAGTTCAGCTTTGACTTCATTCAAATTTTATTTCCAGTTCATTTTCCAAATAAGTCTTGTATTTGAGCTGAAAATTGTGTTTTTAAATTTAGTTTGCAATAAAAAACACCTGCATTTTTCAGCAAATGGAGAACAAATGTAACGTGGGATCAGATTTCGAACAACATCCACTCATTCCTGCAGTTCTAACAGAATGAAGAACTGGGACAGAGTTAGGCTCAAAACAAGGGACCCTGAGCAGAGAACACTGGACAATGCTGAACTGACAGTAGGATCATCTTCTGGTAAGTTACCCATAATGTCCGGCGCTGGCCAAAGTATGAACGGCACTCCCTACTAGAACAAATCCACGTGACACAGCACATTTTATCTGTGTACTTTTTTATTCTTTCCACACACGTTTCTCTTCCTTCTCTTGGCACTTAAGATTTTATTTAAAAAAAAAAACGAGTTAGCCTTTTGGACTTCGCGCCGCACACAGAGGTTTTCTTTCTAATTTTATTCTCTTTCAAGGGTGACTTTGCAGCCACCTTAAAAACAAATAAATAAAAAAATACTATTAAATAGCTGCAGGTGGCTTTGGAAATGTGCCATGAGCTGCTAAAACATATGCACTCTGGGGGAATTGTTTTGTAAAGGACCTGGCAAGGTTTGTAATACACTAAGACTAAAATTCAGTGCAACAGATGCAGCTACAGTGCAGGTAAGTTAACTACAAAAAAGTCATTCATTCTATTGAACAAGCCTTTCATTACAGTCGCTATAGAAACTATATCTTTGTGTCTGTACTTTGTTTACAACGTGAATATAATTCAGGAGTATTTACAGTACTTTGCTTGTCAATTGGAAACACTATAACTTAAGGCCTACTATTAACACCATTGAACATACATATATATAAATAGATCTTCCAGGCTATACACAAAGCAGGAAATGTATGTATCCATTCAACTGAAATTTCTGAGGGTGTGTCTAGACTGCATGGCTCCATCGACGGAGCCATGTAAACTAGTTTACCCAACATAGTCAATGAAGCGGGGATTTAAATAATCCCTGCTTCATTAAAATAAAAATGGCCACCACGTTGTGCCGACAATCAGCTGATCCGGCACAGCGCGGCAATCTCGACGCGGATCAGTCGACAAGGGAAGCCTTCGTCGACCACTCCTGTAAACCTCGTTTCACGAGGCATAAGGGAGCGGTCGAAAAAGGCTTCCTTTGTTGACCGATCCGCGTCTAGACTGCTGCGCTGTGCCAGATCAGCTGATTATTTTAATGAAGCGGGGATTATTTAAATTCCCACTTCATTGACTATGTCGGGTAAACTAGTTTCCATGGTTCCGTCGCTGGAGCCATGCAGTCTAGACACACCCTGAGAGTCTGGGACTTACAAAGTAGCAACTGGAATAGTGTTTGTCTTGCGTCAATCAGTTTATTTTGCCCCAAACTGGCTTTTGTGGCCTGTAAACATATCACTCCTGCTTCTCAGATACACCTTCAAAAGGCAAGGGCTGCTTGTGGTGGGAGCAAAATAAAGAAAACACCCAAAAACAACACACACACACACACACACACACACACCCCCCCCCCCCCACCACACCCTCTTTCCAACGAGAGAGCAGTTTACTGCTGGTTTTTCAGTAATGAGGCTTCCCTGCCCACATGCACTGCAATTGACCTAATGGCAAATATTGCCAGACAAACAGTAGTTTTACTCCCCCACCCCCCAAAAAACCCCTTCGCCCCACCCACACTGTACCCATCTGACTCAGAAGTGATCCATTCAGATGAGGGAAGTATACTCCGCTGAGGACCAGAAGGACTGAGAAGCTGCCCTTGGAGATTGTAAATCCTGGGAGATGCAGTGAGCCCAAAAGGCTGGTCCCTCTAGGACTGCCCCAATCACTACAGGCATGTCAGAGCTTCTCCTGGGCACAGATCAGGTGCAGCTACTATTCAGACCTTCTCCCCTTACCCTGTAGCTCCTGGGGGTAGAATCTTGCTCCCCCAACCCACTAGGGGGTTGAAATTTCAGACAGTTTGAGACATTAAAATTCATTTTAAATATGTCATAAAACACTTTCTTCTGGGATTAAAAAACAACCTTTAGAAGTATTGACCTGTTAAAAGCTTCTCGTTAAAGCATCTGTCACTTCATTACTAAGGGAACCACTTCAATCTCTCAAACAGAGGAGGGGGTTGGATTTAAAACATGAGTTGTTGTTTCTGACGCTATCATCTTTGAAATCCTGGACGTGAAGCCACCTAAAATTCCTAGCCAATGTGTGTCAGTTTATTGCTGGCCAACCGGATGGCTGGTGGGGGCGGGAGGGACCTCTGGAGATGGAACGAATGCACCCAACCGCGCCCCGCAGTCCTCCTGCCTGGTTTCTGAACAAGCATTACAACACTCGGGACAGTTCAGTGGCTTGGAGCAGAGGGACTTGCTGCTGGCTTGTTAAACCTGGGAGTCAGCCCCCAAGCTGTGGAACTCGTCGGGCGTCTTGTCGCTCTGGCTGGCACCGCCCTGGCGGAACCCAGAGGAAATCTCGTCGAAGGTCCGGCCCCTCGTCTCAGGCACCTTGAAGTAGGTGAAGACGAAGAAGAGGATCAGCAGCACGGTGAAGATGATGAAGACGTACGGGCCACAGAGTAGCTGAAAAGGAAGAGGCAGGTAACCGGTGAGTGTTTGCCGGGAGGTGCTGAGGGGAAGTCGTTCACTAAGGGCGTGCGTGGGAAGTGCTGCCCTGATCGCTCCTGATCTAGTAACGCTTTATACTGACTGCTGGATATCACCCGCCCCACCCCGCTCCTCCCAGTGTAGGGCAGCAAACGGCTCTGCCCCTGCCCCTGGCCTGATGGTGCCAGTCTAGCCCATGACTCAGCTAGGCATCTTTGGACCTAGGGGACCACGCAGAGCGGACATTGGGGTCAGAAGGGCACCAGCTGCAGCCTCAGCTCTGTCAACCAGTTCCCCACAGGAGCCGCAAGCGGCACTTCCCTCCACCCGCACAGACCGAAAGTCCTAACCCGCCTGCTCCCGTAGCGTCCTGAGCAGCTTGATCAAGCCTGTTGGGCATGGGAAACGAGAGATTGGTCCTGGCTGAGCTGTTCAGGTGGGGTAGCTCGGCAGCAGGGCGGATTCTCCCAAGGTGACCTGGCTGGAGTTTTTCTACCGTTCCCGGGGGGTGAAACGCCACGCTGGGCAGGGAGCGAGCGTGTAGCTGAGGCACTGGGCAGAGGCAGGGCAGTGCCTCACTCCAGTCAGGGAAAAACTGGGCTTTCTGGTTAGCTTGCATAAGGGGAGGCAGTGGGGGGGTGTAGTGGACACAGCTAAGGCTGCCCTGACTCTGCTACACATTTAGCATCCCTGGGTTGTGGCTTCTCCATCTGTACAACAGGGATAACACCACTGACATCTCGCTGCACAGGGGCTGGCAATCTAGGGATCAGGCAAAGCCCTAGGGTGCAGCAGCATCTGACACGCTGCTATTCAGTCTTTACTAAAAGCCAGACCCAAGGCAGCTGGGCCCCTCCGAGCTCCCTGGGGTAGAACCAGCCTAAGTCCAGCCTCTCGGATGCTAGTCAATCTCTTACTCTGTTATCCCAGCACTGCTGCAGGTGCCTGCATCCCTTACAGCTTCCCCTCTCCAAGAGGGTCTGTCAGCCTACCTGGCTGCAGAGAGATGGGCCCCACATCCAGTTGTGGGAAAAGCCCCCATCCAGCCCTGCCTCAGTCTCAGCTCGAGGGGCAGTCAAAGCCCTGCCAGAGCGGCTCACAGAGCACTATCTCCTGAGTACATGCCAAACGAGAGGAGGGAGGAGGACGATTACCTCGACATACTGGAAGCCCATGCCCACGATGAAGTTGGAGGTCCAGTTGGACAAGCCAGCCACAGCAAAGGCAGCAGGACGAGGGCCCTGGCTGAACAATTCTGCCACGATAAACCAAGGGATGGGACCCGGGCCAATCTCAAAGAAAGCCACAAACCCGAAGATGGCAACGATGCTGAGGTAGGACATCCAGGGCATTTGGTCCTAGCAGACAGAGAAAAGAGCATTATTTGTTCGAAACACACGTGGACCCTGCATCTCGGGTACAGTCACTGGGGGGTGCTGGGAGGGATGAGGGCATAGGCCCTCCTCTTTAGGAAGCTCCTCCCTCATTCCCGGGACGAGATGTTCTCAAGGCACTCCCAGGCGGGCTGGTGCCTAACTTCAGTGCTGGACAAGCCTGGAGGCAGGGGCCTTGGGCAGCCAGTGGGCACTGCCATCCTGCGTTCTCCAGAATTACGCCGCCGGGCAGAAAAGGCATCAGGGGTTCAGGCAGCACTGCTCAGCCAACCGCCTGACATCATCCCTGCCAGGCTGAATTTCTGGGACAGTCCCCTTTTCCCCACCGGGCTCAGTGCCCCACCCTCCCTTGATTGGTGTAACTCACTGGCTGCCCCCCAACCCCTGAGCACTCCCTTACCAGCAGCACCAGGGCAATCGTCATGAGCACCGCGCAGCCTGCCATCCCCGCCAGGCCAATGAGGTGCAGAGTCCTGCGCCCGGCTCGCTCCACCACAAAAAGCTGCCGACAGAGGGAGGCAAGCGCTGGTCAGCAGTCTGCAGCCAGGGGGCAGCCCCCCATCCGGCCCCAGCTGCAGCCCTCTCTGGGGGGGACACACTTATGCTTTCTAAACAGCTGGCAGCCCTGCCTCGGGAGGCCGTCGCACGGCAGCGCCGGGGTGCCCAGGGTGGGACAGATGCTGGGGTAGCTGAACACAGCTGACCTGCTGGCGGGAGCAGCCATGTCTCAGCAGGCAGCCTACGGCAGAGGGGTCAGTAGACAGGCGGGAGAGCTACTGGGAGGAGACTGGCTCCCAGGCTCGTACTAGGGACAGTGGTGGTTTCTCTGCTCGCCAAGCTGTGAGTTGGAAGCCCATGTTCTAACCTCAGCACCGCTGCTGTTTCGCTCCGTGGCCTTGGGAGAATCACTTGTGGCCCAGTTTTCAGAAGCCTCAATGCCAGTGAGAGCCGCAGGGCACAGCACCCCTCTAATGCGGCAGCTATTGAGGATCTCGTGCCTCAGTTTCCCCAGTGGCGAAATGGGGATGTTTTTCTCCAGGTCTGACAGGGCGTTCGGGGGTTGATAGAGGCTCGAGTGGCAGGACAGGGGTTTGTCAAACAGGGACACAGGTGCATGGCGAGACAGGGCTATCTCCGTAATATCCACACATGCTCGCACCCGCCTGACGCCGTATGGGGAGCGGGAAGGACGACTGCCGCGTGGACACTCACCGAGACTACCGTGAACGCAGTGTTCACCACCCCAGAGCCGATGGTGGCGTAGACCGGCTGCTCCACGCCCGACTTTTCAAAGATGCTGGTAGAATAGTAGAAGACCTACAGGGTAGAGCAACTTGTCGTAAGCCAGCTCCACGGGGCGGAGAACGACCTCCGATCGGCAGAGCGACGCCGTTCCAGCCGTGTGTATAGGGAAGGAACAGGGTGCAGTTGGGGGGTGCAGCACAGCCCTGTGCGAAGGGTTGTGTGATGCTGCACCAGTGGGCGGAGGCAGCGTGTCCCTGGAAGCTGCGCCTGGCACTGGCCGTGCTGCTCGCTGCCTTCCCCTCTGGGCTCTGCCCCAGACAGTTTTCAGCCCCTCTGGCCCCGGCGCACTCACCGCATTGATCCCAGAAAGCTGCTGAGACAGCTGCAGCACGATGGCGATGAGGATGGGCTAGGATCGTGACTTTCTTCTCCCTCATCATCTGCCGGCTCTCCTCTTTCATCTCCTGGAGGTCGCTGCTGACGTCCGTCGTCCCTCTGAGCTTCTTCAGGACTGCGGGGAGGAGGGGGAGAGGTGAGGGATCTGCCGGATGCCGGCCCCCAGGGCAGGGCAGACCACTCACCGCTCTTGGCTTTGTTCTCCTCGTTGCGATTGATCAGGAGGAAGCGAGGGCTCTCGGGGGCAAAGGGCAGGATGATGCACTGCAGCAAGGACGGGACGAAGGTGAAGCCCAGCAGGAGCGGCCACCACGACTCGTTGCCCATGATCAAGTCCATGCCAAACACCTGCGGGGAGACCGCGAGCTCAGCCCTTCCTGCAGGTGCCGTGGTACGAGCGAGGCCAGATTCTCTAGCCCCGCCTCCTGCGCATCACAGGCCAATAGCTCCGCCCAGCGCTGAACCCTGCTGCCGTCAATGGCAGGCTCTGATCCTGGGGGCGTCAGGGGGATGGAACCAGGCACCTTCGCTGCCTGAGCGACAGCAGCAGGCCTGCGCTTGGAGGGAGCAGCGGACAAGCCTCATCAGGGAGGCCAGCAGGGACAGGAAGCCATATTGTGGGTTCCTCTCCCACCTGCTCCTCCCACTGGGTGACTCCATGAGAACAGGAGCCATGGACAGACACAAGGGACAAAGCAGATCCCCGATCTGGATCCCTCGCCCGCATGGTGCACAGCTGCCGGAGCATCACGTGCAAAGCCAGGCCCCTCCCCAGTCCTCCTCTACAGGCGCCAGACTACAGCAGATAATCGAGTTTCCTCAGCCTCCTGGCTGCACCAGCAAAATGAAATGACCAATGCAGTAGACTCAAATCCCAAGCCTGGGGCTGTCTATTATACATGAACACCCTAAGGCTCCTGCTAACAAGAGGGGCCCATTGTATTAAGTGCAGCACAGACACCACTGCAACCAATAGGCACAGGCAACGTCATTATAACCATTCAACTGGGGAGAAGCAAGCAGAGATTACAGGACCTGCCCAAGTCACATAGCAAGTCAGTGGCAGAGTTCAGAATAGCACCTAGAGCTCCTGAATCCCAATCCCAGAGCACCCTTCCCCTCTGAAAGCACTTCTCTCAATGGCACCAATCAGTGCGGGTGAAAACTCACCCGCCAGGCAAATGCAACGTTAAACACAAAGGCCGGGCGCTGGGTGAATTCCTGAGGTGGATGATTGTCAGCGTCACACGGACCAGCCTTTGCAGCAGCAGACGCCTCGGAGAATCGCTCACCTGTGCAATGAGGATGCCCACGACGATGCCGAGCTGGTGGAATGTTCCAAGTGCCCCTCGCAGCGCCGTAGGAGACACCTCCCCCACGTACATGGGCACGAAGCCCGTGGTGAGACCGGAGTACAACCCGACCACGAAGCGGCCAAGGACGAGCATCTCGAAGGAGTAGGCCACCTTGGAGAACCCCATGAGGACAGCCGCCAGGAAGGCGAGACTGTTTGACATGAGCATGGAGTTGCGTCTGGGGAGGCAAGGACATGCAGATCAGAGGTAGCGGCACAGCTGCTGTACACCCGCTGGAAACCCACCCATGCCTCAGTTTCAGCTCTTGGGGGAGAGGAAAGAGGAAGGTTTCCAAAGCCTGACTGCGGAAGTCGCTCTGGGTTTCAAACCCTCGGCTGCAACGATCCAAGGCAGAAACGAGCTTTGAACTTCGGGTTCTGTCATCAGCAGCCGGTTACGCTGCCTCGGAGGAAGCAGCCAGTGCTGGGATACGCCTGAGGCAGAGGCACCAGGCCTGGCACCAGTGGGGAGGATGAAAGCTCCCCAGGTAGGAGCAAAATGCAGATGAACAGACGCTGGGCCTGTGTAACAATTTGTTTTTTCTGTAACCATGTTGGAAGGCCTAAACTAAACCCTTCTTCTACAGCCAGAGTGGAGAGCAGCAGCCGTCGGCTGGAAAGCCTGGAGTCATATACTCACATTCCATCTAAACTGCATTCAAGGAGTGTCACACTAGGCTGAGAGAAGGGGATCAGGTCCCAACGGCCCCCCCCAGTCACCAGATAAAGAAAAAGATACCAAGATGGGTAAAGAAAACTTAATTAACAGCAATAAACTGCTTATCAACAGCTGAGGTTGTGAATCCTCATTCTAGGATTATTGTCCTCGCTTTCCTGTTTGTCTGTGTGACCTGTCTGGTTTGTAACTGTTTGTCTGCTGGATAATTAATTTTGCTAGTGGTAAATCAACTAAGGTGGTGGCGCATGATTGGTTAGGTAATTCTGTTACAGGGTGTTATGACTGGTTAGTAAAATTATACTAAAATAAACTGGTTACAGTCTAACAGGACTCAGGTTTCACTATGCAAACTGGGGTCCAAAAAGGAGACCAGCTAGAAGAGCAAAAGGGAAACAAGAACAGAAAGGATCACCTGGAAGAAGGGGGAAGACCTGGAAGAAGAACTCACCTCCAAGACACAGCCTAAGAACAGAGCTGCCAGGACCCTTCTGCACGACCGTGATGTGTAGCAGGTAAGATCCAGAGAGACTGACCTTGCCTGGCCAACAGAGGAAATCTGCCTGCCTTGATCAGGCTTGGTGAGGAGACACTGTGTGCTTAGGATGTGTATTCTGCTTGCTTGGGAATTGTCAATAAATAGAGAATAAGAATATTACTGTGTGAGGCTCTTTCAGTGGCAAAAGATCCTGCAAACCCGCAGGAAGTACCACCCTGAGCCCTAGGAATTGGGTGAGGATGGATGTCCTTAAAGCGTGGAAGGGAGAGAAATTTGTGTGGGTAACATCTGGTCAGCGGGACAGATGCAGGTGTCCTTGGACAGCAGCTCTCAGCCAGCGGCTCCCAGGTGCGGGGAGAAGGGATTCTGCACTAAGGAGCCCTGGCTCCGGAGAAGATGGGAATCTGACGACCTCACAGCTCGGTGGTTTCACCAAGACACCCAAGCAGGGAGATCCTGGCTCTGGAGAGAGCTCAGGGGACAGCCACACGCGGCCGATGGATTCACACATCACCTCAGCTCCCAGCAGACGCCACAGCCGAGGAGGGCCCAAAACAAAGCAGAGCGAGGGCCCTGGGGGATGGTAGCCGCCTGGGGGAGGGGGCGGAGGGAAAGCCCACAGGGACCTGGGGAGGAACGGACAGAGGCGAGGATCCTGGGGAATGCTGGGAGAGTAGGTACAGTCCATGCCAAGGGCGAAGGGAGGGGCAAATTATGGAGAATGGCAAGGAGCTTAGATCAGATGATGGTGATGAAATTGACAGACAAGGAGGAGGACTTCAATCACCCTATTAGAGGAGCAGCCATGTTAGTCTGGATCCACAAAAGTGACAAGGAGTCCTGTAGCACCTTATAGACTAACAGATGTATTGGAGCATGAGCTTTTGTGGGCAAAGACCCACTTTGTCAGATGTCTTTGTCCACGAAAGCTTATGCTCCAATACATCTGTTAGTCTATAAGGTGCTACAGGACTCCTTGTCGTTCAATCACCCTGACATCTGCTGGAGAGCAATACAGCAGTGCACCGATAATTCAGGGAGTTTGAGGAGTGCCAGGGACAACTTCCCGGTGCAAGTACTGGAAGCAGCAACGAGGGGTCATGCTCCCCTTGACCTGCTGCTCACATATAGGGAAGAGCTGGTAAGGGAAGTAGAAGCAGGTGGCAGAAGGTCGATTCAGGATCCTGACCAGAGGGAGAAAGGAGAGCAGCAGAATGCAGACCCTGGACTCCAGACAAGCAGACTTGACTCCCCCAGGGAGTGATGGGGCAGGATCCCTGGGAGGCTAATAAGGGAGAAGAGTCCAGGAGAGCTGGCTGGGTCCTGTAAACCTCAATTTTTGAGGAATAAAGGACCTTGCAAAAAAGGGTTTTCCCCCCCCAACAAATGGCCCCATCTACATGGGACTTTTTATTGCAAAAAGAATCGGAAGCAGATATGCAAATGAGCTCCATTTGAATATCCTCTTCTGCAAAAAGAGGCAGTGTAGCCGTAGCCTCAGACAGACGACGAGGGAGGAGTATAAAACCATTGCTCGAGCATGCAGAAGTGTAATCAGGAAGGCCAAAGCACATCTGGAGTTGCAGCTAGCGAGGGAGATGAAGGGTAACAAGAAGGGTTTCCATCGGTCTTGTTGGTCAGGGACGGTGGGGGACCCTCACCGAATGGGGGAGGCAACGTAGTGACAGATGTGGCTAATGCTTCAGTAGTCAATGCTTATTTTGTCTCCCTCTTCACCGGGTCAGCTCCCAGACTACTGCACTGGGCAGCACAGTATGGGGAGGTGGTGAGCAGCCTTTGGGAGTGAAAGAACGGAGTAAGGACTATTTAGAAAACCTGGACACCCACAAGCCCACGGAGGTGGCTCTAATACAGCCGACATGGCTGAGGAAGCTGGCTGTTGTGATGGCACAGCCAATGGTCATTATCTTTGAAAACGCGTGGCAATTGGGGAAGGTCCCAGACAATTGGAAAAAGGCAAACAGTGTCCATCTTCAAAAAGGGGAAGGAGGGGAAACTGGGGGACTACAGACTGGTCAGCCACTTCAGTCCCCAGAAAAATCATGGAACAGGTCCTCAAGGAATCCATTTGGAAACACTTGGAGAAGAGGAAGTGATCAAAGATCAGTCAGCATGGATTCACTAAGGGTAAGTCATGCCTGGCCAACCTGGTTGCCTTCTAGGATGAGGAAACTGGCTTCCATAGAATCACAGAACACTAGAACTGGAAGGGACCTCGAGGTCATCAAGTCCAGTCCCCTGCCATCACGGCAGGACCAAGCATCGTCTAGACCATCCCTGACAGGTGTCTGTCCAACCTGCTCTTCACTCTCTCCAGTGATGGGGATTCCACAACCTCCCTTGGCAATTTATTCCAGTGTTTAGCCACCTTGACCACTAGGAAGTTTTTCCCTTATGTCCAACCTAAACTTCTCTTGCTGCAATTTAAGCCCATTGCTTCTTGTCCTATCCTCAGAGGCCAAGGAGAACAATTTGTCTCCCTCCTCCTCATGACACCCTTTAAAATACTTAAAAAATGGCTTTGTGGATATAGGGAAGGTGGCAGATTTTATTTAGGTTCCCTGTAAGCTGCACAGCCTCGCAGCTGTTTAATGAGCCTTGCCCAGAAGCTCAGAACTCCCATGCAGACAGAGAGCTCAGCTAACTGGCTTGGGGGCGGGGGAAGGCACATCTCGCTCAGCAGCTTCAAAGGGAGCTGCTTGCTTGAAACGGAGACGCTCCAGTTTGGGAGAGGAGGAGGGGAAGAGGGAATAAGTGGCTGGGGGAAAGAGGTTTGGGATAGTGGTGAGTAATTGGCGAGGGCGAGTCAGAGGGAAGGGGAGTCTGGTCTGAGCCTGAAAAGGAGAGGAAGAGGCAGAGGGCCAGTACACCCCTCAAGCTCCCTGGGCTGGGAAGGAGGGTAATGGAGTATGTGGGGGGAAAAGGGGTGGGTGGGTGCTGGCACTGGGATGAGGTGGGGGAGGGATGGAGAGTTCATTTGTGCTCTGTCCTGTAGGCTGCTGGTGCTTGCAAGTCTGAGGAGCAGGATTTTATCCAGTCCCCAGCTGAGCTAGGGGGAGCAGATTGCATAGGGGTAGGCGGGGGAAGAAGGGGTGGGTGGTTGCTGGCATCCGTGCAGTGAGGGGGAGCTTGTTTGGAGTCCTGACTCGCTTGCTGCAGTCCGGAGGGCAGTCCTGTCTGGGTTGGAGGGCAGGGCTGGGGGAAGCAGGTTGCATGGTGTGTGTGTCAAGGTTCCCTCAACTCTGTGGGTATGTCTGGTGCTGGTCTAGTGCATCACCACCTCATTACTGGAGTTGCACATAAGAAAATTCAACCCAGCCAAGGACAGAAACGCAAGAGGAGACACGGGACGCAATATACCTGGTCTTCAGCAAAGCTTTTGACATGGTTTCCCGCAGTATCCTTGCCACCAAGTTAAACAAGCATGGGCTGGACGAATAGGCTGGGAGGTGGATAGAAAGCCGGCTAGATCGCCAGGCGCAATGGGGAGCGATCAACGGCTTAATGTCGAGTGGGGAGCCAGGGAGCAAGCAGTGCTCCAAAGGTCGGTTCTGAGGCCGGTTCTGTTCAACATCTATTAATAACCTGGAGGAAGGGATGGATCCCACCCTCAGCAAGCTCGCAGATGACACTCAGCTGGGGGGGAGGTAGATATTCAACAAGGACAAGTGTAGAGTCCTGCCCTTGGAACGGAAGAATCCCAAGCACTGTTACAGGCTGGGGACTGACTGGGTAAGCAGCCGTTCTGCAGAAAAGGACCTGGGGATGACAGTGGATGAGAAGTTGGATAAGTCAACAGGGCGGCCTTGTCGCCAAGAAGGCTAATGGAATATTGGGGTGCATTAGTAGGACTATTTCCAGCAGATCTAGGGAAGTGATTATTCCCCTTTATTCGGCTCTGGTGAGGCCACATCTGGAGTTGTGCGTCCAGTTCTGCCCTCCCCCCCAATTTACAGAAAGGATGTGGATGCACTGGAGAAAGTCCAGCAGAGGCCAACCAAAATGATGAGGGGGCTGCAGCACATGACCTACGAGGAGAGGCTGAGGGATTTGGGTTTGTTTAGTCTGCAGAAGCGAAGAGCAAGGGGGGATTTGAGAGCAGCCTTCAACTTCCTGAAGGGAGGTTCCAGAGAGGCTAGAGAGAGGCTGTTCTCAGTGGTGGCGGATGGCAGAACGAGGAGCGATGGTCTCAAGTTGCAATGGGAGAGGTCTAGGTTGGATATTAGGAAAAACTATTTCCTTAGGAGGGTGGGGAAGCCCTGGGATGGGTTCCCTGGGGAGGGGGTGGAATCTCCATCCCTAGATGTATTAAAGTCCTGGCTTGACAAAGCCCTTGCTGGGTTGATTGAGTCGGGGTTGGTCCTGCTTTGAGCAGAGTGTTGGACTCGATGTCTTCTCACCCTAGGATTGTCTGATTTCTGAGGTGGCCTTTTACAGAGCCTGACGGAGGTGAAAGGTTCGCGAAGCAGAGCGGCCAGGAGGAGGGGTTGGGGAAGATACCCTTCTATTCACGGGATGGCCCCCCGACCCAGCTGTTCCAGCACACGCAGCACTTACCTGCCAAAGCGATTGACGAACAGCCCAACGGAGAAGGAGCCGACCATTCCCCCAACGGAGAATATAGCCACCGAGAGGGACCATAGGGTGGTGAGGGTGCCCGTGGTGATCGGCTCCTCATAGCGATAAAGCCACGTCTGGTTGTAGAAATCTTCAATCACCTGCCCGGGGCAAATCAGATCAGTCAGCGGCAGGTCAGGTTCAGGCTGAATGACCTTCATTCTACCCACAGCCCCAGCAGGAAGCCTAGACAAGTCTCACCCCACGCCCATTGGCTGCAGAGATCCAATGTGACGTTAGAGTTTTTCCCTATTAAGCTCCCGCCCTAAACAGAGACTCCTTCATATGGGATAGTCCAAGTAAATGTCTGCGGTTCTCCGAGGCAAGCTATTATCTGCACTGTACAGAGGTGAAACTGAAGAACCAAAATAAGTGATTTGCCCAAGGCCGCACAGGAAGGGTGTGGCAGAGCAGCAAACTGAAGTCTCCTAACTCCCAGGCTAACATCAATAAGCACTCGACCACCCTGCTTCAAGTTCAAAGACCCCCCTCCCTTCCCCCCCAGACTCAGCATCCAAACCCAGGAATGTGCCAAAGCCAAGTGCTTTCCAACCAGAGTGGAAAGCATAGCTCCTTTGTGAACTCCAGTACATGCTGCAGGTCAGCTGAGCCATGAAACCCAAGTTCTAGCCATATGGTATTCCCCCACAGGTGATGGGATGGTGAACCTGGCCGCCCCTTTGTGGGTAACATTAAATTCCTCTTCCCAGTTCAACTGCAGACAAGAATCTCCCGGCCCTGTTATGTTCCTGCGGTCTGTTGCCATGTTCCTCCATAGAAATGGCTGCATCTCAGTGGAAAGCGACATGACCACTGCATACAGTCTGTATGGATCCCGTACTGCGTGCGCCCATGCAGTCAGACACACACAGACCAGACCCAACATGCTACCGTCTCTGGGAAAACCCCACAGCACTGCAAGGAAGCACATCCCCCGTTACGGGGACGAACCACCCACTGTGCCTGCCCTGGAGCCTGCTCCTGCTCCAACACCAGGCGCTCCCCCTTTCCTTCCAGCCCCACGGGTGGCCCTAGTTTGGGTTTTATCTGTAGGGACAAATGCCACAAATTCCCCGAGCCTCGGCCCCGCCACCTACAGACTGCATGCTGCTTCGCCCCAGCCCGGGTTGGCCTGCATGCACCGGTCACACGGCTTGGCTTGCGTCTTCCTGAGTCACAAGATGGTTTGTCAGAGCATAGCCCTCATGCCAGCCTGGCTCCCTTTTCAACTTGTGACACTTTTCTTCCACCAGCTGGGAGGAGCCACCAGGCTCGTCAGGCTGGCAGCAAGTGGATAACTTTGCTATAGCACCACTAGGAGGAAACTACCTGCAAAGAAATGTGGCCAAACGGGTTGCGATCTTATCCTAGTGACAGTCAACAATGATCTGCCAGAGCCGGGGGCAGCCAGGGGAATGCCAGGAGAAAGGAGAGGCTTGCTAGGGGAATGGGAATTGTGCATGGCAGGCCGAAATCTCAAGGGTGGAGGAGAGAGAGAAAGGCTAGATGCGCATGCACTTGGCAGGGTGGCAGCAGACTGATCAATTATCTTGCTGACCCTGAGGAGGGTCATGTGGGGGACATGGTCAGCCTGCCAGGCTGGGGGGGTGGAGCACTCTCTAGGTCTGGCTAAATGCCCTGGAGTCGGGGGCACTCTAGGTCTGGCTAAATGCCCTGGAGTTACTTTGATTCTCCTCATTGGTTTTTGGTAGTTTTTAAAATATATTTTTGCTGGACTGAGTCTGGGACTGTGCCTGCTTGGTTCTAAGGAGACAAAGGCTTGATTTCAAAATTAAATTTGTACATTTTTTTAAAATCAAAATCATAATCAGATGGGTGCACGTCGTCAGCGCTTTCCTTCCTCTCCACTTTGTGCTCTTCAGTGGCCCGAGGGCCCAGCGTGTCCATTCTCCAATTACTTTGCTAGCTGATTGCAGGATTTCACTTTAGAGATTTTTTTTTTATATGCGTAGCTGTTTTACATTGAAAAACGTCCAGCTCACACTTGAATACAACAGCACTTGCTGCATTTAATGTCGGCAAGTCAAGAAATGCCTACACAAGGCGAATAAATGTCCATGAGCGTTTGCAATTTGAAGTCAATAAGACTTATGCTCTTAAACGTAAGAGTCACGTCCCACACTCAGGTACCTAGAGGGGGGTGTAGGAGTTTAACATTTTAGAAACATTTGGCCTGAGTTCATTAAACATTTGCATTGAAAGATTAACTTTCAATTTAAAATAATGAAGCAATTTTGTTTTGGACTGGGCAAGACTTCATGCCACTAAGGAAGAAGGACTAATTAGTGCACCGTTTTAGCTCCCGATGTTTAAAAATGAAACATTAGCAGAAACATATGTAACCCCTCGCCCCGCTCTGAAATGAAATTTCTTTTAAGTTATATACTTTAGTTACTAATTTTTAGGGTCCGAGCCTTTGATTTGCAAGACACTTAACTAGTGGCATTAGAAAAAAAACAAACAGCATTGATCATCCAGCTCATCCAGACCTTTTCAAGCTAAAGTTGCAATAATACATTAATTTTTACAAAACTGGATTTAAATGTTGTGGAAACACTTTACGAAGTAGCTCAGAATCATGAACCCATCCATAAGAACTAGACGTGGGTTACCATGACAAGTCACCACCATTATCAAGCATATTACTATGGTAGAATCGAGGAATCCCAGGCATGGCCCAAGTCCCTGCTGTGCTAGGCGCTGTACACTCCCTGCCCCCGAAGAGCATGCAGTCAGCAATACACGTCACACTGTCAAAGTCAGAGCTGAGTGGATCTCCTGGTTTTGACGGTCTGAGTTGAAAAGCAGAGAAAAAGCTGAAGATCTGCAGCCCTGATGATTAAAAGATACCAAAATTAATCTAAAATGTCCCCATGCAGCACCTAAGAACAGGCTGAGGAATGGGGGGGTTGCAAAGGGGGCAACTACCCTGGGGGCTTTAAATCACTGCCCAAGCGCTATGCGCTCAGAGCCCCAGGCTGAGGGCCACCCAGGGGCCCAGACAATCTTTCCATTGAACGAGCCCTGGGCTGTTGAAGGACATGCTGACCACGGGATATTCTATTACATTACGATAAGTTCTATTGAACCCTGCCCTTGTGGAACACCACGGCCAGCAGTTTGGAGGTCAAGGCACACGCGCAGAGACTAGTCTGGCCAATGTTACAGCCACGAGGAAGGCCGCTTTCCAAGGCAGATGGGACTAGGAGCATGTGGCCAGAAGCTCAAAGAGGCCCTGGGAGCCTGGCCAGGACTAAAATTCAGGTCCCACGGGGAGCTGATCCAAGAGAAGAGTCGCTCCAGGCCCCTCAGGACAGAGAGAGAGAGAGAGAGAGAGAGTGTGAGTGAGTGTAAAAAAGAAATGGTTGCCAGAGGCGCCCTGAGCAAGGGACGTGCTAGATCCTGGAGGCCGAAGGGGAGATGCTGCCATTGGCCGCCCAAGGCGAGGCCCTCGTCCGTTTTGCCAGGTCGGTCTGACAGAGTGAAGGTTTTCTGCTTCCGAGAAGGACCAGGCAGGTGTCCTCCAACTGGTCCATTCCTCAGGGTTCAGTCACGCAGCACCCAAGCCGTGAGGTGGAGGGGGCAGGGCTGGGGCACAGGCGGTGACAGTGGGTTTGGGATTGAGAGGTCCAGGAGGGGAGAGAGAAGGGCAAAAATGCGCCAGTCAGTCCAGACCTGTCCCTTGCTGAGGAGTGGGAATCGGGGGAACACACACAGCACGTCTGTCCGAGACGGGAGGACGGTGGCAGACAGGGAGCCCTTGCCCAGGCCCTACTGGGAGCAGAACCGAGGGCCTCACCTGTTCTGCCTGGTCACAAAGACCCACTCGGAGGCCGCCTCAGAGCGTAACATCCACTCGTGACCAGACGAGACTCCTCTGCTTCAGAGATCTGCCAGGGAGGTCCGGGTGCCAAGAAGGGGGCACGCTTCCAAGTCAACGCTGTGACGAAGGCCAGAAGAACGAGCGCCCCATTGCCCATGGATAGATCACACGAGGCCGCGTTTTCCATGAAGACTCTGACCATGCTGCCTGCCAGCGGAGTGTGCGCAAGATGGGCACGTGATGGGCTGCCCTGGGCTCTTTGGTTGCTGCACTTCAACATCACTTGCCCGGGGGCTTGATGTTGTGAGGACTGCACCCCAGTCTCCTGCCTCCAGGCGGTGAGAGAGTGAGCAGGGTTGGGGTATAATAATGGAGATTGCCTATCTCCTAGAGCAGGAAGGGACCTGGAAAGGTCATCAAGTCCAGTCCCTGCCTTCACAGCAGGACCAAGTACCATCCCTGACAAATTTTTGCTCCAAATCCCTAAATGGCCTCTGCAAGGATTGAACTCACAACCCTGGGTTTAGCTCTGAGCTATCCCTCCCCCAAGGCAAGGGTGGAGAGATGAGAAAGTTGGCGACCCTATTCCAACTGGAAGATATTGGATCCTTTACTGGGATTCAGCTCCCACAGAGATGGCTTGGGAAAGTGCCACAACAGGTTTCAGATGGAAATACAGATGCAAGAGCCCAGTTTCATTATCACGTACGATCCCCCTTCTGTGCATCTGATTGTACTTACTCCTTGTTAATTATGGGTCTGACCCCATGCTCCCATTGGCTACCATGGACTCTATGTAATTGCAAACAGGTTGCCACAGTACAGCTTGGAAATTTCCTTCTCGCCTGCCTCTGTCAAGGTCTGAGGTCTGGATCTGAACTTGCCCTGCTGCCTGGAGGAATGCCTTGCGCTGCCCTTATAGGGGCAGGAGAGACGCATTCGAAATACCTTGGAGAGAGAACATGGAGGAACACAAGGATGTAACCAGAGATCCGCAACCTGTATCAGAGCTTGACTATTCCACTGGAGGAGGGGCTAGGTGTAATGGCAGACTCATTTATCGCCAGGTGAAAGCCCCATCTCTCCGCAGTGAAGGTCACACAAGGCATGGGGGAATGGACAGCCAGGTCTGCACTCACAGCTAGGAC